CCAACGTGACTTCTGTTTATCATTTGTAACATCATTCACGTAAGTTGGTGGGGCTAGTTTTTTTTGTTTGTTTTTGGTCCTGATTCTAATGGTAGTCCTATTTTTGGCTAACAATTGAACTCACGAAAGGATGCGACAATCAAATAAGTAACCAACGGATTCTAGGAAGTAATAGTTGTAGGGATTGTTTGGATTTGCATGCATGCTAGTAAAACCAAACCGTAGGTGGATAGATTTGGTATGAACTTAGCCTAGGATAGTTGAATAAGAATTAGAATAGTCACACTCGTTATTCGCATGGCTGACTTATTACTTACATGATGTAATGGACTGCTCTTCTACTGCTTGTACGTAATCATACCGAAACAAATGATGGGAATTTGTGTATCTGCGTTCCAGGTGCTTGATGGATGTTATCACCCCATTTGTTCTTCGATTCCTTTCCAACGACGTTTTTGCAGCACTTGCTTTGGTGTGCTTTCTCTCATGGGTCGTAATGGCAAGAAAACCTACACAAAAAGATGGTCGTAAGAAGATGATAACTAAGAAAGGTTTAAAATAATTGAAAGTTACTACCTATACCACCAAGGTGCACATTCATCGTGTCCTTGTTTTGTTATTTAGTTGAACGGGTTAAGATAAAGCTATAAGAACGGTCAAAGTCAACTAAAATACAAACAAACATGATAAGATAATTCCTTTACAAGACCGGGAGGTATATTGACTTAATCCAAGCTTTCACATTGACTAAGAGTGTAGAAAGAAAAACTTTGGTCTTTTAAGTTCCTTATGAGATAGAATCCTCAACCATTCTTTCAACACAAACCACTACTTTGTCGCTAAGTTCCTTCTCTTTTCCATGCTTTTTTAGCTCTTACATGTCGTCAAGTCAACGGATGTAATCAAATAAAAGATTGCCTATTATTACTAGAAAAGGGCTCATCACCAATTTGATCTCTGTTTGCTTCTATTCCATTAACACGTTCATACGCTCGAGAAACAAACAAGTATAAGACATCGAATAAAAGTTTCGTTCTTAAATTGTTATGTTTGTGTTTCATGAGTTTGTATGTCATTGTCCTAATAATGACACTTTGAAAATCTAGTAGCTCGCTGGGCCGCTTCAATGCTTAATCTTTTAGTTTACTAAGTCCTACGAGATCACTTGACTCACATGTTTTGTGACAAATTAAGGACCATGAGAGCGCCTAATTATCATGTTATAAGCTATATCACGCCCGCTTGAATGTCTAGTAGGTGAATTGTATTTGACTAAGAGAATGCCTTACGTTTGAACTTTGATTTTATGTTACAACATAATTAGTGAAACCGGTAGAGAGAGTTAATCATAATACCCTAGAACTCTCGTACACCCTAAAGGGTAAGAGATCTAATTAAGCTAGACAATACCATCCTACTTACGAGCCACGAGTTGCAAGGACGTTAGACATGTCGATAGTCTTATGTTATGTGGGGAGGTTGAATGTAAAAATTGCTTTTTTATAGGGTTATGATTTATAGTGAGTTATTTATTGAGTATATTTATACAACTACTCGTGCTATTTTATCTTTCTTGCATATAATACTTGAGATATCGGGTGATGACAATGACGTGAAAGAATGGGGTGGTTAGGGAGTCTATTAATTTTAAAAAAAAAATCTTTTAAAAAAGTAATTGTCGAAGCTTAACTTAATATAAAAATAATAATAATTCATAAATAATTTTGTAATGAAAATAACATTTGATACTTTAAAATTTAAAAAAGATTTGATCGATAATTAAATATTTTAAGACAGAGATATTTTTGTATAATCCAACATTATTAATATATTTCCTTGGAAATTTCTTGTACTTAATTTTCATCATCCTCAACGCCAACATTTTTTTTTAATAAAAAATAATGACTTTATTTAAATTACTTTTCTTTTATTTATTTATTTTTTAAATGAATTCCTATCATTAGTTTGCATTTTTTATTCACAAGTCATTTACTTAACTCAGTCAAATGGATTAATTAAAAGTTGATTAAATTAATTAGTGATAATTTATTATATATATATATGTGTGTGTAAAAATCCCTCATTTAAAAAAAAAATTATATATAAAAGAAAAAAAAACAAAGCTTTAATGTCATTATCTATTATAATTTTCCAACTCACGTGAATCTTTTAATATATTTTTATATAACAAATTGGTTAGGTGAATTATATAATTAGTTTATTTTTATTGTTTTTTTTTTAATTTAATTTAATTTTTAGTGGATAATAGTGTTGATTTCCATTTTTTCTTTTTTAAAAATATTTAAAATGATTGAGAATATATGTCTTTCCAAGATTAAAATATAAATTTTATTTTATTTTAATATATTAATTTTGTTGAATTTAAAAAATCAATTTTATTATTTAAATGGTAATAAAATTCAATAATAATAATAAAAAAAAAGTTAGTTGATCCTATCCAAACATATCTGGACCCTTCTTTGCTGAATTAAGGATGTTTTATTCTATCAGTTATGGAAGTTGAACATCGTTTCGAAAACCACGATTTCGTTAGTTTCGGTAAAAGAGAAACGAGACAACTTTTTATTTGGTAATTCAATCGATTATCACTCCTCGAACAAAAAAAAACGTTTAAATATGGAAATTTGATATTATAAACTTTATGAATTCGAAGAGAACAAAGCGAACAGATGGTGATTTCTTTTCTTAAGAATTATTGATGATAAAATCCCAACCACCAAAATCATCCTCCAAAAGCTCATCCACTAAGCCATTTTCACAAATATTTGGCCATTCAAATTCAGGGAACTCATTCACCAAATCTTGAAGCAAATTGGCTGCTGATTCCGAGTGTGAGCAAAATGAAGAAGAGGATGAGGGGGTGGAAGAGGAAGGAGTTGAGATTGTTGAAGAAGAAGAAGCACATGGGACTACCACTTCTTGTGGTGGCTCGATTAGTGACACGTCTTCTTCCATGCAAAACCCATCTACGAGTAAGTCCATCACGTCGGTTTCATCGATCACTGTCTCTTTATCATGTTCTTTCAATGCTCGTGACGGTGATGGTAATGAAGGAAATTGCTGTTGTTGAGACTTTTGGTCGTTCTTATGAGCCAAATGGGCGTCATCAGAAAGTGGAGAAACGGGCTTGTGAGTTTGAGGATCGATTCCCATCTTTTTTAGCTTTTTTTTTATGTGGGTGTTCCAATGGTTTTTTATCTCGTTGTCTGTTCTTCCTGGAAGATGAGAAGCAATTTTTGACCACCTATCCAAAAAAGAGTAAAGAGTTAAAACCCGTTATTAAAAGAGCAAAATGTCAAAATTGCCCCTTGTTTTGAGAAGAAAAACAACATGCCATCCATGATTATACCACATGACTCAAGCCTGCAATTGTCAAATAAAAACTCTTTCTCTCTCTCTCTCTCTTAATTTCTCTTAAAAAAAAAACAAAAAATTCAATGAAATATTTACCTATTACCCATATGAGAATGAAGATCAATCACCATTTTCTCCTCGTATTCCGACAAGAGGCCTCGTTTTAGATCGGGCCTAAGGTAATTAGTCCATCTAAGTCTACAACTCTTCCCGCATCGCAACAATCCTGCAAAACCCCAAAACATAGCTCAACGAGTTAAACACGGTATCAACGTCTAAACTGAACAATTTCGGGGGGTCGGGATTCGAGACCTGCAAGTTTAGGGACAGCCCTCCAACAGCATTGACCATTGGTGTGGAGGAAGTTGATGAGCTTCTTGTCCTCTTCAGCAGTCCATGGCCCTTTTTTCAACCCAACTTTATCACAACAAGGTTGCCTTCCCATAATTCTAAATTCTCTCTTTAATTTCCTAGAGAGAGAAGAAGAAAATGAAGAGAGAGAAAAATTTATAAACTCCTAATGGAACTAACATTTATGTCTGTATGTGTATATATATATATATATATTATATATATATATAATGGATGGAGCACTTTGGCCTAGCTAATGAAGCCAGGTGGCAACTTCCTTTTCTTTTTCCACAATAAAATTAAATAATTAATATACTCCCAAATTTCTTTCTTTTTTAGTGTTTAATTTTGGAATTTTCTTTAAAATGCAGGCTAGTTTGCCATTAAAACAAAACCCACCCTTCCTTACCACTTTGGATAGTTGTGAAGTTCGGTTGAAGTCCCTAAATCATACTTGAAGCTGTTGGATGACTTCAAAGGAGTCGAACCTCGATTAAGGGAAGGCGTGCTTTGTTCGAGGGGAGGAGTCGGATGATGAAAGTCCCACATCGGCTAATTTAGAGAATGATCATGAGTTTATAAGTGAGGAATACTAACTCCATTGGTATGAGGCCTTTTGGGAAGCCCAAAGCAAAGTCATGAGAGCTTATGCTCAAAGTGGACAATATCATACCATTGTGGAGAGTCGTGTTCATCTAACAGAAGCTAGTTCAATTTTGCCCTTTAAAATCCAAGTAAACCTATGTGAGTTAACGACATCGAATTAGCACAGATCAAACAACCTCATTTAGCTACTATGTGTAAGTAAACCTATCATTTTTCTTATAATATTTTGGTTTTTTGAAACAATGATCTCAAAACCTTTTGGAAATATCAAAATGACTTCAAGTGGGTAACCAGTTGTAGGATTGGGTCTAAAAATGTCAAACAAGGTTAAAAACCGGTATCCTGAGTCGAAAGCGCTAAACAAAAGTTGCGGAGCAAAGTCGAATAAAGTTTTAGGCCCGAGATTGGTAAGGAAGACAAAACGTTGGATTTTCGAACCCTCTCAGATCTGAGTGTTTACGCCCTTACAAACCAAACAAACACCATAAACGGGATTAGGGGGAGGAGGAGACTCAAAAACGGATGAAAAAGGACATTGAAACGACGTGACTGAGGAGAGAGAGTCGCCGAAAAATTCTTTAGTAATTGGGGTGAGAGAAACGAAGTCCAACCCGAGATCCGACTCACGACCCAAAACCCACAGACAACCCTAACCGATGTGAGGGGTGGAGAAGATGAAGTCCACCTGGTCGGACCCAAACTCGAATACCCGCAACCTCATTATAGCCAAGCAACCCCATACCTTGTTATAATTTGACGAATAAGATACTAATTATACTGTCACTAATTAACTATTACTGTCTGTAGCTACTAGAAAAAGAAAAGAAAAAAAAACAAATACCAACGACGTCTGAATCAAGATCTACCACCTCGAACAATCTCCTAGATTGATACATTTAAATTTTAAAAGTAATTCTTTACTATAATTAAATTTAAAAACTAAACTAATAATCTATTAGACAGATAGTTGAAAATTTAATAGTTTTTAAATTTAAAGGTTAAATAGATGATTAAACTTATAATTTAACGTATTATTTATTTATTATTGATTCTAAATATCGATGTGTAACTAATCATTTATGATATGGTACGAACGGATTTATTATTATTATTATTATTGTAAAATTAGTAAGGAGTATATATTCTTTTAATTTTTTATCATGAGAAAAAATAAATAAATAATTTTATTATACAGAGAGGTAAAACAATTTTTAAAAAAAGGAATTTTATTACCAAAATTTGAGCATTCAACATCACACGTGTCTAGAAAATTATTCATGAAACTTTTTTGTCATAGGTTTTTTCTTATATAATAAGCATTAAATTTATAATTTTGAAAAAGTGGTAGTAAAGTTTATTAAATTATAATAATAATTAAAAAAAAATACAGATTAACATAAATTCAATTTTTTTTTTTTTTTTTTTTTTAAGGAATCAATATCAATATTGATTATTATATAGTCAATTAATTGACATACATTATACTTTTTTTTCTATATTTTAAATCATCTTTCAACATATATTTTTTTTAATATGACATATATGATGTTTTGACTAATCTATTTTTTATTTTGGTTAATGAAAAAATGAATAAAGGGGTCACCTATTTCTATATATATTTATAATTTCTTATAAAAATAGCCTAATAAATTTATATTTATAATGAATAATAGAATATAATGTTTATCTTAATTTCTAAAAAATTAAAATTTTATATAGAATGTTTAAAGTTTATATTGGACAGAGAATGAATTCTCGTATTCAGCCTGTGTAGCTAATTAGGAGAAATTTCTTCACGCTCCTTCCTCATTCTTTATTTAAATGAGAAATTTTCGCTATTACTCATGAATTAAATGAATATCTCTTATGTTTTGCTTCCCAACAATTTGGTGGGTATTTAGTGAATGAATACCAAATCATATACTTGAAAAGAACTTGAACATTAAAACATCACTAAATACAAAGTGCTTGAAAAAATTGAAAAAATGTAGATTGTTTTGTTTTGGATCATCTTCTTGGCAGAAGCGGACAGTACACGGATAGAACATCGTGGCCCCTGATCCAGGTTTGCCTGTTGCATAAGTTTCTTCCTCTTCTTCTTCTTCTTCATTGATATCTCTTTCGTCGATTAGCTTTCTTTCTTCCTAATCAACTTTCGGAATTTCCATTTTTCAGCTTCTTTTGTTGCTCGGTAATCAAGAATTTTTCACAGTTTCATTCTGCCTCGGGGTTTCCGCAAATGGGTTTCTTCGATTCCATCCTTAATTGGCTCAGGAGGTACGATTTTTATCCTGCCCTACTTTTCCTGTTCTTGAATTTTGTTATTATTATGATCTTCTTTGCTTGGTTGCTGAGAAAATCAAGGGTTGATTGTTGTTAGTTTGTTGAACGAGAAAATTGTCGGCTGAGTTGGGAAAGCTGCGCTTATTATTTTAAATTCGAATATGGGCCTCTTGTTTGATATTAATTTATAGCGAATGTTCATTAGAAATGCCATATTGTGCTGTTCGTTTGATCTTCAATTGAGAATATTATGCTAGTTTGAAGTTTGAATATTCAATCCTTCGAGTGGAGAGGCACAGCCGTTCAAGATTTATAGATTTGTTAGTTGAAAATGGACAACTGGGTCCCCTGCACAATTTGATATGTGGTTTACTCTGTAGTTGAGATTGCATGTACGCTTGAGTTTTTTGATGTAGTTTCCTTTAACAAAAATATTGACCGTAGAACAGATGATGACAGAACAACTAATGAGCTCTTTTAATACTTCCGTTGAGATTGAGTTGGCTTCAGGCATGAAAAATAGAGGCTGGCCCTAATAGTGGGAGTTTCTGTTCATACAGCTCGAAACCGTTCTTAGATACCCCTGAAGTTATACTGTGGAAGACTCGATCGAGTTTGTTTTCTTATGATTGTTGTGAAGGGGCTGTTCTAAGCTAGGATCTTTTTTTAATGCAATTATTACAATTATATTGGCTGTTTTCTGCCTTGGATCCCAACTTCTATGTATTTGTGGCTTTCATCCCTGTAGTTGTTTTGTGTGCATACATTGTTAGGAATCACGAACCTCTACAATGGTATGATATTGTTCACTTTGAGCATAAACTTTCATGGCTTTACTTTAGGTTTCCCCAAAAGCCACATACCAATGGAGATGTATTCCTTACTTATAAACTCATAATCAACTCCTTAATTAGCCGACGTGGGACTCCTCTCCCAACAATCCTTAACAATCCTCCCCTTAAACAAAGTACACCATAGAGTCTCTCCTGAAGTCTATGGAGCCCTCGAACAGCCTCCCTTTAATAGAGGCTCGACTTCTTTTCTTTGGGGCCCTCAAACAAAGTACACCTTTTGTTCGACACTTGAGTCACTTTTGACTACACCTTCGAGGCTCACAACTTCTTTGTTAGACAATTGAGGATTCTATTGACATGGCTAAGTTAAGGGCATGACTCTGATACCATGTTATGAATCACGAACCTCCACAATGGTATATGATAGTGTCCACTTTGAGCATAAGTTCTCATGGTTTTGCTTTTGGTTTTCCCAAAAGGCCTTATACCAGTGGAGATATATTCCTTACTTATAAACCCATGATCAATCTCTTATTTAGTCGATGTAAGACTCCTCTCCCAACAATCGTCAACATAATAATTTTCATACATCTCAGAGTCATCTAGCCACTTTTATTGCCTTTCATAGTTTTGTGCTGGAATCCCAATTTTTAGCATAGTTATTGTGTTAATCCAGCTTCCATTATCATGGTTGAAGCGTTTCGACTTCTTCGTGAAGGAACGAAAGCATTGTCTTCATCCTTGCTTTGCTAGCTCTGTAGAATCATGAAACGCCTCTTGCTACGTAGTTGAACTAATCTTTTTTGTTCATTGATAGAGAACAGTTTTTCATATGCTTAATCTTATTGAACATCTAAAGGAAGCTGTTTTTTGCTACTATTTGAGACTTTTGGGAGTTCTTTCCAATCTTATAGTCTTGTCTTGTGTGCCTGTTTGTCAGCCTGTTCTTCAAACAGGAAATGGAGCTCTCACTTGTAGGCCTCCAAAATGCTGGGAAGACATCTCTTGTCAATTCTATTGCAGTAAGAAAATGCAAATTTTGACATCCTTTTTTTTGTATGTGAATGGCCTTCTGTTGTTCTCTGATCTTTTTTGACTTTTACAGACAGGGGGCTACAGTGAGGATATGATTCCAACTGTGAGTATGCTTTTCTATCATGTTCGTTGTTTATGCTTTGTAATTCATTGAATGTATCTTATGATCTTCACTTGATTTTCTGATATCCAGGTTGGGTTTAACATGCGGAAAGTTACAAAGGGCAATGTAACAATTAAACTTTGGGATCTTGGAGGGCAAAGGAGATTTCGTACGATGTGGGAGCGATATTGCCGTGGCGTGACTGCAATTGTGTAAATATCCCAAGTCTCTAACCCTCTCTCCTTGCTCGATTTTAGCTATATTTGTTAGCATTGTTACTTTAGCTGAGAACATGGCTGATTGTTAGATATCACATCCTTTTATTCTGCCTTTCCTGTCTTTGTTGAATTGATCTCTTGCTTTTGATAATTAGAAATCGCCCGTGCTGGAATAATGAGTTTTCACATTTCATTTAATGATTAGAAGCCAACCAAAGAAAACAAAATTCAAATCAATCCATATAGTTTCTGTGAGATCCCACGTCGGTTGGAGAGGAGAACGAAGCATTCTTTGTAAGGGTGTGGAAACCTCTCTTTAGCAGACGCGTTTTAAAAATCTTGAGGGGAAGCCCACGATGGAAAGCCCAAAGAAAACAATATCTACTAGCAGTGGACTTGCCTGTTGCACAAGTTTCTTCCTATTCTTCTTCTTCATTGCCATTTTGTTTGTCTAGTTGTCTACCTTGCTAAGTCATTTGCAGGTCGTGTGGTATCAATCAGCTAACTGATAGAACCTAAATAGAACTAGTATGATATTGAAATGTAAGAGATAGGACTACAAGATCAAGCCAAGTAATTCGATAGTGTTTGATCTGAATTTATCCGTCACAGAGTATGATCCAAGTTGAAGAACTAAATAGATTAACATTTGTTTTATGTTTGGTCTCTGTTCTGATGGTGCAAGATCAGGTATGTAGTTGATTCTGCTGATAGAGATAGCGTTCCTATATCAAGAAGTGAGCTCCATGAGCTCTTAACAAAACCTTCATTAAGTGGAATTCCTCTGCTTGTGCTGGGCAACAAAATTGACAAGTCAGAAGCACTTTCCAAGCAGTCACTGGTTGATTTGTTGTGAGTCCTGGATACTGTACCGATCGCTATCTGTTAATGTTGAAATATACTTTTGTTGATAATCTTTTCGGGTTTGTTCCTGCAGAGAACTTGAATCGATTCGTGATAGGGAGGTGTGCTGCTACATGATCTCTTGCAAAGATTCGATAAACATTGATGCTGTGATCGATTGGCTCATCAAACACTCGAAAACAGCAGGATGATCGGTTTTATGCGTAGGTTTGTTTAGCTAAAGAAGAGTCATGAAGATTCAAAGCTGTAATGTGTAGAGAGTTTGAAGTTTATACAGCTTAGCTATTCATGTTTGCTTGTTTGTTTAAAAGAATGTAGTACTTCAGCCTTGCTGTCTATACTTCTTCCTTCTTTATAAACGAAAAATATTTGTCAGGGTTTACCATGGAAGATCAGACACCTTTTGACCAATCCGTTGACTTTTGAAAGTTATGTTGACTTTTGAAAGTTCTTATCGCCCCCTTTGTGGGAAATGAAAGAGATGCCCCCGTGAGCCAATTGAATCAACGGTGTTATCAAGCTACGAACTTCTACTATTGTATCGAGGCTAGGTCAACTACAAAATATTTCTACTTGAGATAGGTCGACTATAAGACCTTCCTTAGTAATCATGAGCTTTATACCAATATCACTAACATTTATTTCAACCAACCCGTCCTAAAGCATTAAAACTGACAATGAGACTACTTCATACTAATTTCAAAGACTTCTTAATGCAACTCACGAATCATATCTTAATAAGTCAAATAATACTCTTGTGCTTGGAAGGGTCACCTACCAAATCAATCGTTTGATCTTCTTTCATCTTTGTAAACTACTAATAAAGATTGACTTTACTTATTTTGGTTTTTTCTTAATCAATAATGATCAACAAATCCTGTATAAAGAAATCAATGTCGTATAAAACATTTGCGTAAGCACTATGAGACAACAATTAAATAAAAATTAAGTTTACTCCCAACAACTATTTAATACAAAAACGAAGTATTTTTACAATCTCTCTTCTACATTCAATGGTGCAAAACTTATTAAGACTTCAAAATATTTATAGAAGTTCAAACACTTATCGTTATTAAATTAAACAAGAAATATGCGAGGATAACAGTAGCACAAAAGTCTACCCAAGAAATAGAGTGCCAAAATAGGTGGTAGATTATATGACATGTTGAAAAGATTACACTACAGATAATTTTACAGATATCAACACGATTAACCCTACCTGATAGTAAAATATACAAAAAGATCCAACCAAGACACTAACATTACTATAATTCTTCCACTTGAACAGAAAAACCACAGTGACATCGTTTTGTCACTACCAAACTTTTCTCATCAAACGTCTGATCCTCTAACAAGAACACATGCTTATGATCTTCTTCATTGACAAAAGATGGAGCATCCATGTTAGCGTTACTTACATTATTCTGCTGGAGCTGGCACTCGACCGGTTCTGTATCGTCTTTACAAGAAGGAATATCTACATTTCCCTTGTCGTTCGTGCCCCGAATCTCAGTCACCACCTGCTGTGATGGATTCTCGTCATCCCCATAACGACTGTTCAACCTTTGCCGAGTCAAAATAGATGAAAGAAGCTGATACCATCTTGAAATTGCTTGTTTTTCTCTCTGTCTTCTCTCTTCAGCCTCTCTTCTCTCGGATTCCTCAGCGTATGCCTGTATATCAAACAAATATGTTTTGAGTTGAAAAATATCCTAGCTGAAGTTATCATAAAACTGGAGCTCTAATGGGAGATCGGTTTTTATCTCTACATATGATGGTTCAAAATTAGGATGAAATGGAAGGAGTAGATTTAGAAGTCAAGAAAGAAAATACAAGTTTGTCCAAGGAATATGTAACGGTCCAAGTCCACTGCTAGCAAATATTGTTCTCTTTGGGTTTTCCCTTTCGAGCTTCCCCTCAAGGTTTTTAAAACGCGTATGCTAGGGAGAGGTTTCCACACCCTTATAAAAAATGTTTCGTTCTCCTCCCCAACCGATGCGAGATCTCATAATCCACCCTCTTTAGTGCCCAGCGTCTTCGCTGACACTCGTTCTCCTCCCCAACCGATGCGAGATCTCATAATCTACCCTCTTTAGAGCCCAGCGTCTTCGCTGACACTCGTTCTCCTCCCCAACCGATGCGGGATCTCATAATCCACCCCCTTTAGAGTCTAGCGTCTTCGCTGACACTCATTCCCTTCTCCAATCAATGTGGGATCCCCCAATCCACCCCCCTTCGAAACCTATTGTCCACCTCCTGTCAAGACTCAGCATCCTCATTAGCACATCGCCCGGTGTTTGGCTCTAATACCATTTATAATGGCCCAAGCCCACCGCTAGCAGATATTGTCCTTTTTGGGCTTCCCTTTCGGGCTTCCCCTCAAGGTTTTTAAAATGCGTCTGCTAGGGAGAGGTTTCCACATTATAAAGAATGTTTCGTTCTCCTTCTCAACCAATGATCGCCCATGTAGGATTTAGTCCCTAAAATGTTGAAAATAATTGAACCCAGAAAAATAGAAAGTTCTAGCATATGATCAGAATGTACCATCCTAATTATCTTGGAAATGATAAAGGGAAATACCAACCTCTAATATCACACGTTTAAACTTAGAACAGACAACAATGCCGTCATAGATAGGATATGATCGACCATTTCGAAATTCAAAGCCAACCATTGCAGGTGCATAATCAATTTCCAGCTTCTTAGCAACATTGAATACCCTGGGCAATCTAATATGCACAGTTCCTGGTGGAAGGCACTTTTCAGACCACACATCCACTTGACCACGCTCATTCTGTAAGTTAGAAATGCAACACTTAGCTTCTGATGAAAATTATAATTAAAAGACAAAGGAGACAAATGAAATGAACATGGACCGTTCTCTTGTTCATCAATTTCTTAAATATACAATTGTTAAGAAAGATCTCAGAAGTCAGAAGAAAGTTCACATCCAATGCCTTGGGCACCACAAGCAAACCAGTTTACACATATGATTTAGTGCCAAGGCTTTAAATATGCAAAGATCACTAGGCGTCCCAATCAAAGCAAGTGCATTCATTATTATGAATCACAAATAATTTAAAAAAAAAAAAAAACAGTATATAGAAAAACTCACTTTCGGCACAACCCCGTTTATAGCACGAGGCAATTGCAATGGCTCTAATTGCCACTTCCCATAGAGTTGAATGACTCCTTGGGAATCACCCTGATCAAAGTCATCAGTTTCAGACTCTTGTACTTTGATTTTCTTTAAGGAACGTTTCAACTCCTGAAACAAAATAACCTCAAAGTATGTAATTAAAATAGAGGGAGAAGAATAGGAAAATGAAGTGTAGACTAATCAAACCTTAGCAGGTAGTTCATTGGATTTAACTTGCAGCCCCTCACGCAGCCACTTTTGCTTTGTCTGAAGCATTTGGACACATGTTCTAGGGTAAACTGGATGTCCAGAACAAAAACCCAGAACAGGGCCCTTTGGATGAAGCGTCTGATACTTAGTAAGCCATTTTTCAAGGGCATATAAACGGTGGTTTTTGTAGGCCTGCAATTCAAACGGCATTTACCTTATTGAAGCTTTATAATCTAGATGCCAGGCATAATTTGAAAAAGATATTATCATCCACCTGCTGATTTGTTGGAAGAGGTTCAGTGAGAGCCCGAGTTTCTAATTCAATATCCTCCAGATAATCCTTTGTAGCAACAAATTGTTTACCCAAAGAAGAGTTTCGGTCAGTGTCAAGCTCTTCTGACACATTGTGATCTGAATTCCCCGGCAAGTTACCATCATTCGCAAAAGAATTCTGCTTCAAACTTTCTGATAAACCTGGCATTTTTACTTTATTGTGTTCCATCAAGTCATCAATGCAGCCATTCTCCAAGAAACCAGTACCCTCCGTGGCTCGTGCTTCAAGTGTCCTTAATGGTGACAATACACTGTCCCACCAAAGAGTATCAATCCGTTTTTTTTCTATCTTGTACCACTTCATACAATATCTGCATATAAGATGATAGGGAAGTAGCATATTATTTTATAATATTGGAAAATCCTTGCAACCGAAATAATTGGCCTCAAAGGCTAGAGTTCCGAAAACCATAATTTCGATGTCATAACACTGAAAAAATCCTAATCCTGGAAACACCACAATTGTGGCTCTAGGAGCTAACATCATTTTTATCCAAGCATGCATTTCCTCAGTACAGTATTTTTGTTGCTTTAAGCATGTCTCCAAATGTGAATCTATTCCCCACTCTGTTCGTGATAGTTAGTTACAAAATTTTGACATTGCATTACAAAATGAATGCAATTACCATCGTTAGACCGTGATAGCCATTTAAAGAAAGTGGCTGCAGCTTTAGTACATGTATTGCCAAAGGTGCAGCTTAAGTACGTGTATTATAAAAGATCTATAACACCCACTAAAAAAATTTCAGAACTACAAATTTTAAATAATAATAGCCAGTAGACTACGCAAACTTAATTCGATTCCATTTTAGCAATTCACCCCACATTCTAAACTTCTAACAACAAAGCGTAATGAGATCCTGACTACAAAGCATGATGCCATCGTTGAAAAAGCTGGAGGTAGTTTCCAATTTTAATTATCTCTCACTCTGCCTTGTTCCTGCTAATCATATAAAAATTCTAGCAAAAGTCTCCTGGTTATAACGCTCAATAAACAAACCCCCCAGTCTTTGCCCCTTCAATGAAAGCCTCGCCTCGTTGTAGGTAAATTGGTAATAGGAAGAAAACATGCATAAACATCAAATGATAATGGAGAAAAAAGAGTAAAAATTAAAGTTTTCAAGACAGTATGAAAAGAAAACCTGCGAGTCACATCTTTAGCACCAAGCCCAGAAAAGGCAACCACATATCTCAAAGATGTTTTGCATGCAGCAGCTAAATCCTCTACTTTGTGCTCCCCATCAACAACCATATTTACAGCATCAACGTGTACCCACTTACCCGTCAAGTTTTCTGCATTGCAGTATACTTCTGCCCAATACAAGGGCGATCCTACTTTACTTGAACCAACAGCAGTGGAGATTCCACGGGAAGAAGAGGCAGATTCTTCATCAACAATTCTTTTCAGTTTTTTTGGTGAAGGGAACTTTGAAGAAGGCACGTTTGAGTAATTTGTGCTAGAATTTCTAGGCGCAGTCTCAACTTCTGTAGCTGAAAGAGCCATTTGTAACTGCATTTCAAACTCAATATCCCCCTTCCTCTTCAGTACCTGAGAGTTCTTAGAAGGGCAGGTTTCGGAGATATCGGGTTTTGAGTTGCCGCCAGAACTTGTGGTACAAGACAACTCATCAAGGACAAAAGTTTTCTTTCCTGATAAATTGATTGCATTGCTTTCACAATTACCACCAGAAGTAGATGTAAGAGAACTTCTATCAACCTGTTCTGCTTTATCGACCATCAAAGTTGAGTTCTTGAAAATGTTACTACTTGATACACTAGTCCCTTCGCTAAAATAGTTAGATCTCTCAGCCTCTGGTTTTATAGAAGCAACATCCAAAATGGATACAAACCTGGAAAATGACAATATGGGAATTTATTGATCAATTAGTTCTTCAAAATGCAGATTACATTTAAAAACCATAGAATGACGGATGAATACAAAAGTGAAAGAAAAACATTCACTTGGCTAGAAGGAATGCACATCATAGCAGAAATCGACTGGGAAGTAAATAAGTGGGTAATGAACCAAACAGCTTTCTTCCTTTATTTTATTTTATTTTTTTAAGGAAACGACATTCTACGTGGAAAAAATGTATAATGAAGGCTGAGGAAAACATCATCCAACCTAAAATTAAATTGCTGAAAGGTATCAACCCAGAGAACGGACAAGGACAGGTTACTTCATTCTAAAGCCATGACTCTATTTAATCAATAACAAAATGATAAATATATGTCCAAGAAAACTCAAAATCATTAGCTTTGTCCTCAAAAGTTCCTTCATTACTTTTACCTCCAGAGCAAGAGACCCATTTTGCTACTCAATCAACTTTAAGAGCTGCAAAAAGTTATTTTCAACTCAATCAACTGGCACATTTATCCAAAATAATATCATTAGGGTTCCCCACATTTACTTTTACGATCACCCTCTCAAACTTGAAGTCAAGCATCTAATGAATTTCATGAGAGCTTTTTTTTTAACTTCTTGATCAGAATGAAAAAATAGAATCCTTCAAGAGAGGAAAGTATGTTCATGGTGTGGGAATATATTGCTTTTGTGTCTTTATCCTGGAGTGAAATGTGCAAAAATATTTTTAGATGTGATTATTCTTATCTTTGTGATTATGGGAGGCCTTTCTATAACTTATTGGCACAAGTAATGTTTTCTGCACTTTTTAGCATTTTTTTTTTCATCTAAGTAGTTTTGTAATATACACACAATAGTTTTAGTACGGATCTACAGGAGCTGGTAAGAACTCCAATCCTAGCATATCAAGAAATCCAAACAACTTGAACACACAAAAAAAAGTACAACTAGATTGCCACAGGCAAAGTAGAAACATCTGTGGCATAAGATGGTAATATTTAAAAGCTTTGTAACTTGTTAAGGACAACAAATAATTATTTCTATAAGCAGATGCATAGCATTTTTGAAGGTATAAACAAATAGAAGCATTAATAAGATAAGAACAATTAGTAAATAGATTTCAAGATTGTAAGCCCACCGGGCCGTTAGATCCAAAGCTCTTAAAAGCACCACGGTCAATGCAGCAATCTGAGGAAAAAAATAAATCATTAGGAGTTGAGTTCTTGTAATTGTAAAAGCATAAATAATTAAAAGATGCACCATTAATAAAGATAAAGGGCTTTAAATATTTCTTTATGCAAACTCAAGCCTTCACTGAGAAAAAAAAAAAAAAATACAATGGGCATACAAAAAATAAAAACCAAGAAAAATGAGCCGAACTAAAACAAAAAGGAGCTTCAATCAAGAAAAATAAAACCTAAAGGATAATTACAAAATGCCTTAAACAATGAGGCCCAAAGAGTGACGTGGAACCTAACAAGGGCCTACACATTTTCCTTAGACCCCTCAACCCCTCTAAATAACCTATTGTTCCTCTCAATCCAAAAATGCCAAAAAAAAAAAAAAGAAAGAAAAAAATTGCACAAACTCTAGCAAGTCACAAAAGAGAGAAGGAACTCCTTGATAATCGAGCAGCAATCCCTAGGCTTGGCTAAATGATAACCATGACAAAACATTATGGCCTTATCAAGATCATCGAGCAACAATCCCTAGGCCACAGCTCTGCAATAGGTGGTTAAGATACTTTGACAGGTCATGGTAGGGAAGAACAGTGAGATAGAAGGCTAGCAGCCATCATCAAGGAGGAGGAAGGAAGGCAAGACTTAGAACAAGACAAAGAGCACGACAAGAATAATTTTGGGCCCCATTTTACATTAGCTTTTGGTTTGGTTGTAATGCTTACTCATTTTGGACCTTTATAGGTCCCCCCTACGAGAGTTCATATAGTAATTTTCTTCATAATCCTGCTGGTAACCTTCAATTATTTGAAGGATGCATTCTATTTCCTTCCAAAGAAATTATAAATGATTTTTGTGTCTTTGCAATGCCTTCAAATTCCTTTCAGAAAAGGTAAAAAAATCAAGTTTCAAAATAACAATACATAGACATGGATAACTTATTCTACCTCCTCTGCAGTCCCTTCATGCGTTTCAAGAGCACGAGCTAGAGCAGAATTAATAGAACCCTCCGACCTTATTTGGTTTCTAACATGAAAATTGTTGTGTAACTGCAATGTTAGAAAATACATTTGTTAAAGTTCAAGTAGTACAATCCAAAATACATTGAGAAGAACAGATCAAAAAACTTGTTGTTTTTAGGTTGACTTCTCATGTAGGAATAATCTCCTAAAGCCTAGTCGGGAATACTCATGAGATCTAAGAGACAAAAAGTGGCAACCTACAAAGTCAAAATAATCGTAATATATATATCTTAAGCACTTTAGAGATGACAAAGTGTACAGGTATCATATCTATAGATTATATTTTTACTAATAATGATCAGGAAATTAAGATAGAACAAATACCAACAACAAACAGGGATGATATTGTCATTACAAGTCACAGCCAAGAGGAAATCAATGAACTATGAGAACGCCTATCTAAAGTGTTCAAAATAAAGGATCTTAGGAAGCTTGGATATTTTTTCCATTGAAATGGCACATTCAAGCCAAGAACTCCTCTTATTATAGATTGTTTGATGTGCTCATTGACTCATACTCGTAACTTGGAAGGGCACAAGGAGTCATCATTAATAAACAAAGAGAAGTAACTATATTGTGGCAATAAGCAGAGATTGTTATTGTTCATAAACTAGTCCAACACAATAGGATTAAGCATGTGAAAACAGACAAACATTTAAAAAAAGAGAGGTTAGATATGGTTTATGAAAAGACACCTCACATATCTTCTCATAATCAGCACACATCCACATCCTTACAAAAAGACTTACCAACCACACACAAATAAGATATGGAGAAGCTTGGAATGCAAACTACTTGAGGTAGGTGTTATAAATTAAGATACAGCCCAAAAAAATGTTTAGAAGACTAGATAAAAATGTTTCTCATTGTTTCTATGCATTTGTAGTTGTCTATATAGCATTAGACTAAACAACCATGACATGAGTTGGCCTACTAGTCAAAAAGGGTCAACATAAATAATAAAGGATTTAGAGGGAATGGATAAAGTCATAGTGACTACATAGGATTTAGTACCCTAGGAATTTCTATGATAGCTAAATATAGCAGTATCAAGCAGTTGTACCATGAGAATAACTGAGGTGGGCACAAGCTAGCCCAAACACCTGCAAATTTTTTCAAAGAATGGCACTAGAGTGTAAGTTAGCTAGCGTATTTGTCCTTTTCTTTTCTATTTCCCAATACATGTAGTTTATATGAGATAACAATCTATTGTATGTGAATAAGAAATATTGAATTACATCCTTCAATTTTTCAATATTAGCCAAGATAGGGAGTATTTTTCTCTCTTTTTTTTTTTGAACGGAAACAGACCCTCATAGATTTAAGCTAAGACAAGGACCTTCTTTGAGAAACTTTAAACTGACTTTTCAATACTAGTCTATAGGGGGTGGATATTGAAATGAATCGTTTGTTAGAGGAATAAAAGCATACCCAAGCAACCAGGGGTTTCAGAGAGCTGGCAGTCAGTTGCTTGGCCGGTGTGTTCTTCAGCAAGTGTATTGGAAGTAGAGAAAGCAAAGCAGACTGCAATAACAAATAAATTGTCCTCAGGACAGAATAAGTTATATACCCTTGTATTTTCTCCACTAGCAGAAAGTAATTATTTTGAAGAACAAATTAAGAATTCCTCTTAAAGCCAATTTTTCTCCCCAGGATAGCTGGGTCTGATCAAAATGTTGCTTGCCATATTTTTTATGACCGTCATAAATTATATACAGCCTACTATATAATTTAATTGGCAGCTTCATCAATGGTGTCTGTCGTGATGCATGTCGGACGAGATAGATAATAATTGCTATTCTCCATAGCAAAAAACCTGAATAAGAGGATCATTGCAAGCTCTGTCAATTAATCTTCCCCGTCCAAGTAAGCAAAGCAAATGAACCTTATGCACTAACTCCGCAATTTCCTGCAAGGACGAAGAGAATTTGCAGTAAGATGAGATACAATGCCAAAAGCAATAAAGATAGGAAACTCACCTTATCAGCAGCAGAAGCTCGACGAATAGGCTTCCTCCTTATAGAGTCATGCTGCGTCTCACTAAATTCAATGGTCATTGGATAAGACCCTGTTCCATCCATAGTGCCAGCAGCACCATCTTCCCAATCTGAATCATCCAAGTCTTCCAAAACATGCGAAGCAGAATTCTGCAATTGTGCTTCATGAACATTAACATCCCCGGAGGAGTTTGCTATTACATTCTCATTGGACTTCTCAGTCTCTAACATCTCCTTCGTGTCCATAATTGAATTTACATCTCTTCCATCTTTACACTTTGGCTATGAAATAAAGAGACAAAGATTTTTCAAAAAAAAAAAAAAAAAAAAGTTGTTTTAACCAACTGAAACATGCATAGTCTACTAAAGTTCTAATATAAATTAAAAGAGATGTCACTACTTCAAAGTACAAATATTTAGTAGATCTAAAATCAACTGGATAAACCTTTCCGACCAAATCACATGGCTGCAGAGCATGTTTCTTTGTTCCTGACAAGCGACGTCCAGTTGCACGACTAAGAAGCTTGCCCACAGCAGCCCTTGAAACATCGACTAAAGTTCCTGAAAACAAAAACATAAAAGATCAGGTGCATCCGGTAAGAATAATATTTTTTTAAAAAAAAAAGAATAGGTAAGTTATGGGCCAACAGACACCTCTGCCATCACTGGACTGTGAACAGCCTCCTCCTGGATCTGGTACTGCCTCACCAGCATCTTCTACACCTATCCAAAAAAAAAATCCGCAATATTGTAAGGGCTAGACAGCAATAACCATTTCATTCCAAAAGCATTTGTGCCAACTACAAAGGTCCTCAAATAAAAAAATTCGGTATGCTGCAAATCTCTTTCAGCCATTAGGTACTCTCCTTTCTTGGTAGCTGATCCAGTACAAATATTTGGCAAGCAAAAGTTCCTGGAGGTTTACAGCTCATTTGGGAACTAATTTAAGAACAGTTACCGGTTTAGTGAAGGTGGGACGAACAGCAAACTTGATTTTTTCAGAGAAGAACGTTGATCATTCAATGCCATACCATTCCTTTACTAAATATAATGGAAAAAGCCTTTCAAGATTTTTTTTGGTGCTTATGAAAAGAGAGGAAACAATTCTATAAGATATCTTTAACCAATGAATTTTGAATTTTCCCTCTTTCATTGTCCTGAAACTGCATTAAGGTAACCTACTAGTGTTATACAGCTATCCTATAATCCTTCTTATGAACATTTAGTCCTGCAATTCAAGAAGCAAACACTACCCGGAAAACACCCCCCGAGAACCAGAAGGATCATTTTATGCTGCAACAACATCACAGCATATAGAAAGAAATGAAAAGGAGGGAATTCTCAGAACCTACCTGAAGATTTTTTGGGGCGCTGTGACTGTTTTCGGCCTCGCATTCTTCCCTCTGTCTCTTCCAATCCGTCCACGGCGGTGGTGATGACCGTGTGGCCTGTGAGGAAATTGAAGGGCAAGCTGTGTGTTGTGTCTTAGATACGAGGCGCGAACATTTAACTTCTCTGATACGCTTACAGTCATTCTCCCCGAATTGGGGGCACTCGTGCCACCGCTGAAATTTCCCAATTTAAAAAGGATAAAATTATAAAATTAATAATAATAAATTATTAGTTAAATATCCTACAAAAAAAAAAAAAAAAAAAATATATATATATATATATATATATATATATCATATTTTTGAGTTGAGATGTGGGAAATGTAGCTTTAAATCACTCTTGATTTAAACCCAACTAAGTTTGAATTGTGGATTGTGTAATCAAAGTGGACAATCGCATATCCTTTGTTGAATCTACCACATAAATGATGTTTAAGTTATCTTATTTAGTAATAAACTATGGTTTACCAAATATATCATATTTCATTTTTTATTATACGGCAAACATCTAAATTTATTTGATTCGATCATTTGGGTTCATGTTGCATGTGAGTTGTGTTGTACTAAAGAGATTGCAAGTCAACATTGAGGTTCATGCATATATTGAATATTGTAGATAGTTAGTTTGAGAGTTGGAAATGTAATGGTTCAAGCCTACTGCTCGTTCGTTTTCTAACTCTTATGTATCATCGTCAACCTTAAAATTTTAAAATTATGTATCCTCGACCTAAAAATTTTAAGAGCTATTCCCTGCTAACTTTGATACCGTTTATAAAAGTCTCTATCCAACCGACGTTTTCAGAATCCACACTGAATGATTCAACCGATGGACCCTCAAAATCCATAGGAATGATTTGTTCCCCTCTAACATGTAATCTCACAAACCACTCATTAGAGCACAATGTCCTCTGTCCTCGTTGACACAATCATAGTGTTTGACCTTAATATCATTTGTAATAGTCCAAACACTAAAGACAAATATTATCCACTTTAGCCCACTCCAAATCATCTCTTTCCAACCAATGTATATATATATATATATATATATGAAGGATATCATAGATAATGAGAACGTGCCCAATTATAATGGGTGATTGATTATCCATCTGCATTCATGTGTAAATAGATTATAGAGGTTGGTCAATTTTTAATATTCAATCTTTTCCAAAACGTTTTTTTTTGTCGCAAAAGTGAGTTGCGTTCCAATGTTATTAAGCATACAACGATTTAGATGAAAGGTTGTTAATTTTCTATCATTTATGAAACTTCTCTTAAAAAATTTTATAAAGCACCAATATAGCACTTGTTCATTCGTTTGTGTTAAGTTGATAAATTCTATAAGATATGTTATAATATTAAATTTTAAAGTTTAAGCAATTGAGTTCGAACATTTTAACCATATGTTGTATATTTATTATTCTCTAGTATTTGATGTTTGATGATCCATCACGAATTATTTGAATCTGAATTATATCAACATTCTAAGAACTTAATTTTTGTTCCTATTTATCCTCTGAATTCTGCCGTTAAACCCTTAAATTCTTTCATCAATTCCTCGACGAGCTACACAAGCCAAATGAGCATATATGAAATTCGATCAGTCAACCCAGTTTCTCGTCCCCTTCACACATTTATCCAATCAGAGTGATTAGCAGAAAGAAAATCACCAGACGCTTGCAAACACCTTAGTTTGATTTAGAAAACAATTTCAAAGACGAGAAAAACAAAAACTGATTTCAAAAAGACATGATGCATTGTGAAAGATTCGAGGAAGTGAAAATTCAAGGCAAATGCAAAACAAATCGGAAAGTAGATTGCAAAAAGTAGAGGATCAGTATAATTGTTCAACACGATCGGATGCTCTCAGAAAAAGGCCAATTTCTTCCACATGCGAAAGCTTAGAAGCCGGTGAATCCTAAAACGTTTAAGCCCAGAAAAAAAATGTTCAATTCAAACGATTGGCATTCCCTTCATCTTTCCACCTAAAACAAGAGGAAAAGCGAACCAATTCCTCAAATCCTAGAAGGAAGAGTCGTCAGGCGAAAACCAAGCACAAGAAGAACGTCTTCTCAAAAGCTTAAATGAAAGAGGATCAAAACACAACCTCAGCTCACTTCGGTGTGGTTAAAGCAAAAACAATCATCATCGAGCAGATCAATCTAACAAAATCAGATAAAAAAATAATTGAATACATGAAACCGAGATCGGATTTGTCAATCAATCAAATTGACGAGCGTTTGTGAATCATAAAAGCTGTGGAACCAACGAGAAATGGCAAGAACCCTAGATAGGAAGGCAATGCCTGTCCAAGTAGTACCGTTTTAATCTCGATTTTGCATCTTTTCGTACTCCCTATGCCATGGATGTTTAGCAGAGAGAGTCATAGTCGATGCGTTGATATAAATTCGAAAAGAAACTGAAAACGAAAAGGAAAAATTAAACGACGAACACATACCGCAGACAGTAGACGGACGACGGATGATTATCACCAGCGGCGAAGACGAGGTATTTATAGTGATGAAATTAGGGTTTCTTCCCGACTTTTCTCAACAAACAATAATTTCGAATATCTTTTTAATAAAATTAATATCTCGAAAAAGAAAAAAAAAAAAAAAAAAAACACATTAATATCCAATCCTTATTATTTTTATTTTATAAAATTCATTTTGGTCTAAAATTATTTGATCCATAAATAAAAATTTAATTAATTTGGACTCTAAATTTGTAATTGGATTCCTGTTGGATCCTAAATTTTTATTATTGCATGAGTTGTTTCTCCTCTTTCTTTCAATGAACACACCCGATACAATTAGGCTCCAGTGGTCCCGATTTCTACCTCTATCAAAGAGTAGTAACCCCACCTCTATAGCCAGAGTATGGTGAAGCCGTTCCTTAATCTGTATTATTATAGGGATAGTTGAGTCCGTATGTATCCCAAAGCTAGTCAACATCTACTGGAACGGTTGAAAATAGGGGACCAACTAAGCCTCTAATAAAACTTAAATAAAGCAAACATTTGTATTCATAAGTTTAAATTTTGTTCTTAAGGGGTATTATAACCTCATAAATAGTCATAACCTTAGAAATCACTAACAATTCAAGCCATATACTTGTATTATAAGCGTAAAAATGCGAACTTTTAAAGCTATAGAAACTAGTAGATAAAGAAATACACGGATTCATACGACGAACGAATTTATAATTTAACCAAAGAATATTGCATCAGTTTTAGCCAACAGCCTAATACAATTCCAGTTCTCCACAGCTCCATCTTGAATTGTACAAAATTTAATGGAGGAAAAGAGGAGAGAACAAGCTAAAACTACCCGAACGAAATCCTTTCTACAACCAAATGGAACTCCCAAGCAGGGCGCCAACCATCATCATCACTGCACAACTCAAAGCACCATACCCATAAGCGTTTGCAGAAGAATCTGAGTTCGTGGAGTTCATTGATGGGGCTGTGATGTTTGCCAAGGTGCCATTTCTACCAACAACACTGTAACCCAAGAGATCACCAAAACTTAACATCAATCAATGATTCCTAACAAGAAAGGTTTTTGACATTGTTCTTAGGATGGGTTTGAAAGTGATTTTAAAATTAAGCAATTTTAGCCGGAGGATCAGGATTATGTTAGGATCGCACAACAATGCACACACTCGATTTAGATGAACACGAAGAACAGGAGAGAAAAACACACTCGATCTAGATGAACACAGATGACTTCAAGTGTGTACAACATTAGGATGGTGTGTACAGTAAGACCGACAATGTATACTAGAGAGACAATGTGTACAGTAAGAGAGAATACAGAAACAATGAGAGAATACATAAAGTATACTTTCAAAGCACAATCTAAGAGTATATATATGGTTCAGTTTATTATATATAGTTTTATCGGATATAACATCTACTGTATCTATACATGTCTAAGGTACATATATAGTTTTATCAGATCTAACCATCCATTATATATATACTATATATAGCTTTACTACGTATAATCATTAAGTAAGCTATAAATAAGCAGCACACTCTATAACCCAACCGATTACTCTACTAAAAAGTTCTTAAATCGCCACTTAAACCTAAATACTCGAGGTTCTAGCTCAAGATTACCTACTTGGATACTATACTAAATGACCATTAAACTCAAAAGCGAATCGATACATTAGTGTGAATTTAATATGTTCCCAAAAAGTTTCTTAATGAAGTTTACCTTCCTATAAATGAGCAGGATCCATGACCTGCATTCATCAATCAAAGCAACAGAAAGACAAGTTAGCAGTGAAGATGTGCAGAAGAACACGAGGAGAAAAACAAGTGATGAATTATGAACATTCTCGTACTTGGGTTTGTGGTTGTAACAGCAGCCACCCCATTGAAATTACACGACCCGGACATCTTCCCCATTTGATGATAATAAGTATTGAAAGCATATGTTGCATGAGCCATCACATTGTCAGGCTCATAGCACGGCTGCCCTTGAAGCAAAGCTGAGCAGTCTACCCTGCCAGGTCCACATGCCCAATCCAATGCAGCCTGTAGCATCTTCCGATCCGCGCCATCTTTTGCAGCACAGTATGTCGGGTTCATCGTATCGTTTGCTAACACGAGTCCTGATCCTGTCAAGTGTAGAATGTATATGGACCTTCCATTTGCATCAAACAATCCCCAATTCTTCTCAGAGATTGGCCCAGATTTCATGTCCTCATTATATAGCTCATAAATGTAAGTACTAACAGCAATCCCTGGATGTTTAGGAGTTCCAGTTTTGTTCAACACATGCCTAATTAAGTTGCTGTTGTAAGTGTTAGCATTGTCCAAGGTAGCATCTGGCTCATTAGAGCCACCTTTTGATGGCCAGCCAGTTTCTGAAACTACAATGGGTATGTTACTGAAATTTAGAAGCGCCATAGCAAAGTAGGCTGCATCAACAATTGTATCAAAAGCATTGGTGTAGGAAAGAAGCGTGTTCTGATCGATGGCTTCTTTATTCGAAGGGAGAGGCTTTAAGAGTGCATAATCCAACATGATATAGCGATTAGATTGCATATAGTCATAGTAGGGGTAGACATTGAGCATGAGGAAGGAGTTAGTAGATTGCAAGAAACCAAGAAGGGGGACTATCACAGAATCCAATGATGAATTGAAGAAAGCTTGCGAAGGCGGGAACGAATCAATAATAATCGAAGACGAAAGAGGCGTCGAGACCTTGATTTGGTGGTCAAGGTTGGATGCAACAAGTGCTGAGTGAATGTATTTCAAGGCATTGACAAGGATCTTAGCTGCATTAGGAAGAGTTGTAAGGACTTCAGAGCCAACAGAAATGGCAGTGATGTTAGTAGCTGGATAATGTGCTAAGACATTGTGATTAACCCAGTTAGCTGCTGTGGAGTTTGATTGGCCAATTCCTAGAAGCTGTTCATTAGGGACAGATACCATAACTTGAATGCCTGTGTTTGCAAGGGCTATAAGCATGGCCCCATCGGCATCGTATAACCGAACGTGTCGAATTTGTTGAGCTTTCAAGAGGGCTACTACTTGAGTTGGGTGAGGCATTACTGAAAGATCTGTTCCTATATTCACACCAACAAATACATCTGCAAGAACAAATCACAAAAAATGGTATCACAAAAAATGGTGATCACCCATTAATTTGTATTAGGATTATATGCCTAAACTCAAGATTTATGGAATATAATATCCAAGCAGAGGTCAGAGCTCTAATATATAAAAGATTAATAGAGGATGTTCCGTTTTCTAGGGAGAGGTTTCCACACCCTTATAAAGGATGTTCCGTTTCCTTGCCAACCAAGGTGAAATCTCACAATCCACTCCCATTGGGGACTCAGCATCCTCGTGGGCACATTGCTTGGCTGAACTATCTCTATTCTTTTACTCCCATTGGGGGTCCAGCATCCTCATGGGCACATCGCTTGGTATCTAACTCTAATACCATTTGTTACCTTTCAAGTTCCTGCTACTGATATTGCTACTGATATTGTTTGTTTAGGCTTTCACTCTAAAACACGTCTGTTATAAAAAAATGTTTCGTTACACTCTAGAGTGGGATCTGATAGTATCTTAAAAGTTACAAATGGTTTGATTGAGTGCGATAAATGTTCATAATCCACGGTCCATTAATGACAGAGCAGCAGCAATTCACTACCCATCCAGCTACCACTCTGGTGGCATTTAACCAATGTAGTGCTTTCCCTTTCCTCCTTTTGTCTTATTCTCTTCTGGGTTCCTCGTGTTTCACACAGATACAAAAATGAACTCCAACAAACCCACATTCATCACATTCACAAAACGAAAAACATCTCAAACATCCATAAAAGCAGCAAGAACAACGGTAAATCCCTTGAGAAAAAAGCATAGATTGAGCTGAAATCACTGAAAGAACAGAGTTGGAGGAACAAAGTAGAGTGAAGTAAGCAGCACTCACCTTCAGCAAAGGCCTGCAGAGACAACAGGGAAAAAATGAAGAGGAGAAATGAAAGAGCCATTGGAGAATCCATAGCTTTGTTGTTGACACAGAGATTAAAGAACCCAAAAATGGGAGAAGAAAGCGAGAGAAAGGGAGAGGGGGAATCAGTGGAAGAACAGAATGAGTGTAGGCAAGTTAAAACCAAGGTAAAGCAACCGATAAAAAGTGGAAAAAGATGCAGGAATATATGGACAACACAGAGAGAAGTAGGGTCCAGGGACCCACTTATCACGTGGATGCCTAGTCAGATCGATCGGACGGTCAAAAATGGTTTTAATTAAATTTTTTTGGTCTTATTACTATTTTTTTGTATGATAAAAAAATATTTTATTTTGGTAACAATTAACTTTAAAAAATTACTTTTAAAATTACAAGAATTAAAATGAAATATTTATATTAATGATTAAAAATAAAAATTTAATATAAATATGAGCAGTAAAAAGTAGTTTTTTTTTTGTTTTTACCACAAAATCCACCGGCAAAGGCCGGGGTGTAAAGTATCGTTATCCGTGCAAGAGCCGTTAGTGATCGTGGAGCCAATAAAAAGGAGGGAAATTTAGTGTTTGTGGACCCCACATCCCAATAAATAAAATAATAAAACGAGCTGGTTACATTTTTAACGGTCATTTTTACCACTTTTTATGAGTCCTTTTATTTTTACCACTAATGCAATATGTACTATTATAATTATTAAAGTACATATTGCTTTTTATTTTTTATTTTTTTAATAATTAGAAGAAATTAAAATTCTACTCATTTTAAGGAATTATTTATGATAATTTTTATTATCCCGATTAATTTATGCGACGCCTATTTCTTTTTATGTTTAATTATGAATGATATGTTGACATGACCATATTAGAATTTACACCATGACAAGCATAAAAATATTATGTACGTCTGTTTTATATACCCATTTTATTTTAAATGTGGAACCTCGTGCATAGTGAATATCACATAATCATGGATTACTTCCTTGATATGTTAGGTACGAATGCGCACTAAGAACCCCCTAGATGAAAACCACACCGTTAAGAGTTGCTCTTTAGGATATAAAATTTTGACCTCACTAAAAATGAGTAGATATTTGTAATAGCCTAAACCCAACGTTAGTCGATAATGTTTGTTTTCGCCCGTTACATATCGTCCTCAACCTCACGATTTTCACACGCGTTTGACTGATGACGATTTATAATGGGCCAAAGTATACAATATTTGTTAGCGGTGGGCTTAAGCTATTATAAATAGTATAAGAGGCAGGCATCGAGCAGTGTACTAGCGAGAACGCTGACCCCCAAGGGGAGTAGATTGTAAAATCCTACCGGTTCGAGAGGGAAATGAAATATTCCTGTGGAAACCTCTGCTTAAAAGACGTTTTAAAACTGTGAGGTTTACAGTGATACATAATGGACTAAAGTAGACAATATCTACTAGTGGTGACCTTAGGTAGTTACAAATGATATCAGAGGTAGTCACCCGATGATGCGAGACACTGGTCAGAGTCGGGCTAGACCCTCTCCATAATAGATACGTGTTAAAATTGCGAGACTGACGACAACAAATAATTAAACAAAGCAAACAATATCTACTCGCGGCGTCAAGGCGGGCTTGGACTGCGGCGTCAAGGCGGGCTTGGACTGTTAAAATAGTTTAGTGGTTTGCTCCTTGCACTTTCATTTTTTTCTTAACGCTCAAAACAAATCTAGTGCGCCAAAATCCACTTTTAGTATGCTTCAAATTCTCTAGTTTTCTCTAAAATCAATGGCATTTCTTCGCCGAAAACTGTCAACATTTATTCTCTCGTCGTCCAAAATTTCCTTCTGTTCATCCATACGAAAACTTAACTCAATTACAGCTGCAGGTGAACTCATCAACAACGATGCAGTAGTAAATTCAATATGCGATTCATTCACAAGACGCGAAAGCTGGGACACTCTAACTCGAAAATTCGAGACTCTCGAACTAAACGATTCCTTGGTCCAAAAAGTCTTGCTCAAATTCCAGCAGCTTGTTGATTCCAAACGCGCTCTAGGGTTCTTCCACTGGTCGGCCAAGAGGAAGAATTTCAATCATGGGGTTCAATCTTATGGTATTATGATTCATATTCTAGTGAAAGCTCGGTTGGTTAACGATGCTCGAGCTTTGCTCGAATCAATTTTGAAGAAAAATGAAGGTAGCTCTTTCAATTTCTCTATTGTAGATTCTCTATTGGATACTTATGAGGTGACTGATTCATCCCCATTTGTGTTCGATTTATTGATTCAAACTTGTGCTAAATTGAGATTGATTGATTTTGCTTTGAATATGTGTGCTCATTTGGAGGAACGTGGGTTCTCGTTGAGTTTGATAAGTTTCAATACTTTGCTTCATGTTGTGGAAAAATCTGATGAGAATCGTAAGGTTTGGAAGATTTATGAGCAAATGATTAGGAAAAGAGTTTACCCCGATGTGATTACTGTTAGGATCATGATCAATTCGTTGTGTAAGGAAGGTAAATTGCAAGAAATTTCTGATATGTTGAGTAGAATCCATGGCAGTCGTTGCTCTGCTTCTTTGATTGTCAATGGCTGTTTGATTTACAGGATTTTGGAGGAGGGGAGAGTTGAAGATGGTGTAATGTTGTTGAAGAGAATGTTGCAGAAAAACATGATTCTTGACGATATTGCTTATTCATTGATTGTTTATGCTAAACTGAAAATTGGGAATATAAAATGTGCACAGGAAGTGTTTGATGAAATGTCTAAAAGAGGATTTCAGGCAAATTCTTTCATTTATACATTGTTCATTGGCGCCCATTGTAGAGATGGAAGGATTGAAGAAGCTCATTGCTTAATGGAAGAGATGGAAAACATGGGTTTGAAGCCATATCCTGAAACCTTCAATCTTCTCATTGAAGAAGGGTGTGGAGATTCAGAAGAAAGCTTGAGACTGTGTGAGAAAATGTTAGAAAGAGGGTTTGTTCCCAGTTGTTCATCTTTCAATGTGGCAATAGCTAAGATTTGTGAGGAAGGAGATGTGAAAAAGGCTAATGAAATGTTAACCATTTTATTAGATAAAGGGTTCTTGCCTGATGAAACCACTTACACCAATCTAATCATAGGATATGGGAAAATTGGTGAAACTCAGGAGATTCTTAAGCTATATTATGAAATGGATGCTAGATTACTGTCTCCTGGCGTGTCGGTTTTCTTTGCACTGATTGGGAGCTTTTGTCAATCTGGGAAATTGGAAGAAGCAGAGAAATATTTCAAGATTATGAAAGATAGGTCTATACAACCAAGTGTATCTATATATCAAACATTATCCTTGTTCTATTTGAAGAAGGGTAATAGAGCAAAGGCTCTAGAACACTATAATGAGATGATGTTCAATGGATAGAAGCTTTGTTTGTTTCTAAGCATTTGCAGGTTTTTATATGGAACTGACATGTTGATATGATATTCGTTCTCTTCTCTGGCAGAGTACTTGATGTTGAAAGAAGCTTACTCATTCGAAAGGTAAATTGGCGCCTTCTATTTATTTATGCCTATACTTTTACTTAAATCAAAACTCTTCTGAATTCAATTGCTAGTAGGTATTGTTCACTTTGGCTTGTTACATATCGTTGTCAATCTCACGGTTTTAAAACGCGTATGCTAGGAGAGGTTTCCACATCAGTTGTTAGAAGTAAGTTATTGATTCTTGATTTAGCCCAGCCATTCTATGATAAGGAAGGGGTCAATTCGAATGGAACTTCATCTTCAAGAAAAGAGTGGTCATGCTTTTTTATTGGTTGTTTGTGCTGATTCTTGAGGTTAAGTTTTTGCATTTTTAGTCGGCATATGAATTCCTTCTTATTAGTGTAGCTTGCACGGTCTAGTCGCCCTCAGTTAATAAGTGTTGATCGGCCTCGGCCTCGGCCTCGGTCAGTAGGAACTGTTAGGAATCATGGACCTCCACAATACTATGATATTTTTCCATAAGCTCTCATGGCTTTGCATTTGGTTTCTCCAAAATGTCTCGTACCAATGAAGATATATTCCTTACTTATAAACCCATGATCAATCCTCCCAACAATCTTCAATAGGAGCTGGTTTCCTTAACCGATTGGTTCCACTTAAATTCTGGTGTTTAATGTTCATCGTCTCCATCATCATTTAGTTTTGCTTTTTCATATTCTTGCTCATTTTGTTGAATGTGGTATGAAAGTCTTTCGAGCAAGCCTTTTCTTCTCCAAATAACCTCAACTATTGTTGTCAAAATCTAAAGAAAGCAACTCATCTCATCTTCATGTGACAACAACGGTAAAATTTGTTTGAGAAAGTGAAGAAGAACTAGGCCGGCAAAACAAAAGAAACATGTACACTAATGTGATATTGGCACATGCTCGCTTGAAGGTCAACCTTGACCTCTTCCGTGAGGTTGTTCATAGGGTCAGTCACAACCTCTTGTCGAGGCCAACCACAGGTCTTATCTTCTTATTTGTTCCATGATTTGGTCTCTTTATGTGTTCGATTCGACTGTACTCGTGTTATTCTTTTCCTTATTGGTTTTGCCTAGATTCAATTTTAGCCCAAATAAAAAGTACACCTTTGATGCATTCTTCAAGAGAATCAAATAAACAACCTACAACAATAAGGTATTAAAAATTAAGTTTAAAACTAATAAAAAAATTAATAAAATATAAAATATTGCCAACAATTTTCTCATCAAATATTTATTTTCAAAAAAAAAAATAAATAAATATAAAAGTTAAAATTAATATTATTTTAAATATAAAAAATTTTCTGCTCATTAAATTAATTTAAAAATAGTAATCAATCGAATTTTAATTTGTGGCATAGTCATAAATTCATGATTTACAACAAATTAATGTTTCATCACAACCATTTCTAATTCTTATTTTATTTGAAGTATTCAAAGTTCGATAATAATATAATATATATTTTAATTAAAATAATAATAGTAATATAACATTTTTAAATTGGTAAAATTATTTAACGAATGTGAATATTAAATAATTACTATGTTTTGATATGCAGTGAGTGGAAAATAAATCTAGTGTTTGTTAGAATATGTTTATATATATATTAAAAAAAAGAAAAATAATAAATAAAATAAATAAAAATTAATCTC